TCTTGATCTTGTCGAGAGATCTAGCTGGACTCAGGGTCTTGTTGTGCTTGGACTGGTGGTGATTCCTTCGCTGAGTTCGCATCCAGCACGAGTTGGCTCGAGCTTGGGTATTCCAGCTTTGTGTCGGACTCTGAGACAAAGACGACTGAGATTCTGGAAGGCCAGGCAGACGGAGGTTCGACTGGCGGAGTTTCCTGTTCAGAAGCCTGCGCCGTCAGCGGCTCGACTGTGATATCAGCGTCGAAGTCATCAGCCTTCTCCGTGGCCCTCTGCTTCTTGTTCGACTGCTTCTTGGACTCCTCCTCCGCTTCCAATCGGCGTCTCAGCACCAGCGGCATCTTCTTCGCACGTGGCTTCGTCGTCTTCACCAGGCAGAAAGAAGGCTTCTCCTGCTCGTCGTTCTGTGTTTGAAGATCTTGAGGACGGTCCATGATTGGAAGGAAGGCCACTCTATGGGCTGCCCAAAGAACTAGTATTTCAGGACTTGAGCGGCGACTGAAAGCAAGCAGTGACGAAAAACATGTGCAAGACCCGAGCGACGCTTCGCATCTCTGAGCTAGCTGCGTGGAGAGGTCGATACGGTTCGGAAAAGACCAACGACTCAGCCTCCGGCACAGCTCAGAGGACTACCCCAACACTAACCACTGACTGGCCTGCCTTGTCAGACACGGAAAGTCAGAACCGCAACGCTGTCCATCCAGACCTGACAGCAAGTTTTTCGCAACTGCCGTCTCTCACGCCCAGCAAACACACATGGATCAAAGGCCCAGGCATGAGGACATCTTCGAAATCGAGATGAACCTGGCCAGGGTTGAACTAACAGGAATTACGATTGCACTCACACTTCGTTCAGTGGCCGATTTCTGGGCAGCATTTTGCAGCAGCGGCCAGCTCATCCTTCTGGCAAAATCTCTGCAACGTAAAGCGAATGACTGAGTCATTGCTGAAATCAGTTGCTAACGGATGACGAAGGCAGGTGATCGGCCAATTGGCGCTGCCACTGCTCTGGACTGAGGCAGATTGGTTGTCAGTCGACTGGCGCTGGTGCATTTTGCATATACGTTCGCAGTACATACCGACTGACCACCAATCAACTCATTTCAAGTCCGATGAATCGTCATCACGGGGGTTATGTTTCTTCCAGGGAGGCTTGAGCGGTGGCATCTTCTTGGCCTTGGGCTTCAGCTTTGCCGGAGGTGGGCCCCGCGGCTCCTTGACAACCGTCTTCGATCTGCCCGGCTTGCCTTCCTCCGACTTGTCCTTCTTGTTGGCCGGCTCCTTCGACTTGGCCTGGATCGGCTTGCCTTCCGACGACTTGCTCTTCTTCTTGGCCGGATCCTTCGACTCGGTCTTGGTCGGTGCGGAGCGGCTGTAGCTGTCGTTGTCATCGTGCGGCTGGAGTGGGCTGCCTGGGCATTCTTCATTCTCCCATGTAGATGGGTCCTTTGGCATTGGATTTGCTTGCAAGCAAAGTATTATGTAGATTATTTAACTTAAAGAGATGGCCATCGGACAATGATTGAAAACGCAGTGTTGAGGGTTTAGGGGTGGGCTTGTGATTCGACTCTCGGTCGTCGTCCTCGTGGAAATGCCAGTCATTCCACAACGACTCGTCGTAATGCTCCCACGAATCGTCATGGTCCTGCCACTGCCCATCGTCGTCATACTCCACTTCGACTTCCTCTTCGCGGTCGTCTTCGTCGTCAAACTCATGACTGCTCCTGGCCGTGGGTTTGAGCGACTTGCGCCTGTCGAGCCTGTCGTCCTTGGATGTCTCCGACTTGCGCCTGAGCTGCTTGGACTTGGCCGACTCGCGATCCTCAAAGTCAGTGGACTTCAGTGTCGGCAAAGACGACTCCTCCTCAGCCGATTCGCCAAAATTATCTGAGTCCAAGTTCAACGACTCCAGAGCTGCCAAAGTTTTCTGTCGCAGCCAGGACTCCCGCTGCTTGTTTACGACCAGGTCGTCAGGCTCGCCTCGAGCCCACGGAGCCCAGCTTTCGCGAGGCATGCCGCTGTTGTTCTCGGAGGCATGCTCCGCCACTTAGTTGAAACGGGGAATCAGATCATGACAGAGCTACTGAAGCTTCGACTGTTTCTGGCAGATCTGAATGTCGACTAGTGCAGCGGAGCGACTCAAGAGGTGCATCTTCCTCTTCACTGCAGCCATGACCCACGCCGACGGGTTCTGTGGAGCGACTTGGTTGAGCTTCATGGTCAGCTCGGAAGCGTAGGCGAGCCCACGTGGGCTGGGGTGTCCGGCCAGGGACATCATCGAGTCCCATGCTGCACGGTCCAGTTCTCGACTTTGGAGTGTGCTAGCGATCTCCGGAAAGTTTTCCCACATCCGACCGACTACCTGGGATGATGTCACTGCCCTAAACCCTTAACCCTAAACTGCCTGCAACACGTGCCATGACCGCCCTAAACCCTTAACACTAAACTGCCTGCAATACGTGCCTAAGATAAAAAGTACAAGCGACTGCAGCACTCGGACCGCTGCTTGGCACCCAAGACCTTCGACGGAGGTCTTCAGCACGGTCACTGCGGCTGCGGTGATCGCGACTCTGCCCATGGCGATAGCGACTGTCTGCCATGGATCAGACGACTTAGATGCTTAGACTAGATGTCCAGACCGACTCTCGCTGCTAGGCTTCTTAACACATTGCTCCTCATGTTGCCCTGCACAGGCGGTGCGACTGACGACTGCGGTGCGGCCAAGCAAACATTTCAGTCATACTCAACTGCCAAGCACCGGGCACTGGGATCTCAAGGCAAGCACGAGCCGTGTCAGAACAATCACGCAGCTGGCACCTTCTCCGCTTGGTCATGTTGTTGCGATTGCTTGGAGGCCTGTGCGACAAAGCAAGCTTGCAAACACTCGACTCGTCGATACTTTGAAACTCTGCTCGCACTGTTCAAGGATTTGCACCTTCGCCAGGAAGAGAATGCCTGTGGCCTAGGCACTGATTGCAATCCAATCGCAATACACAAACGCAAGCTGCTGCAACTCATAAAGCACTGGCGTAACAGGCCGCATAATCGAATCGAACCTATCAACCCAAGAAACGGATCGGCAAGGAAACTCAAGATTTTTGACTGAAAGAAGATCGAGTGTGGCAGGCACGTTTGCTGCAATAAAAACACGACTTGAGCTGGACTCGATCCCGACTGAAGAGGCCGAGCATATCACATCCTTGTATGTCATGTTCCAGTGCTCGACAAAGCCAAGGGAAACAAAGGACACTCAAAGGCTTCTTCTCAATGGGTTCTGGATGAAACACAAAGTCAGGTCGATGACGAGGGAACATGGCACTGGATGCGGAAAACAATCTGTTGAGAATCTAGGAAGCCGAGTCCTCACGCGACTACCGGGCACGCTTTTGGTTCCCCGGGCAATGTCCGACTCGACATCCGCTGCCTCAGCTAGCAACCGGGCAGACTTGATATTGTTCTGCGCCATCGGCTTGTCGACTGACTCTTCGCTCTGGGTCTCCTACGACATCCCAGCCAAGAGACTGAAAAAACGACTCACTCTTCTCCTGCTACCATCGCATCATTGTCGATCACATTGTCCGACTTGTCGTGCAGCTCGCAAATGTAACGTATGCACGCCCTCTGGATGTTCAACACAGCATACAGAATGCAGCGTCCTGGGCAACACTCGGAAGGCTGAGGTTTGCCCGAAGCGACTCAGTGCTCTGGCACACTTCGGCCCATGTGGCCAACGTCGCTTTGGAGTAACATTTGCAGCACAAGTCATGTGAACTCTGCAGACACAGAAAGCCTATGCAAATATCTGCAAATGAGGGACAAGACCAGCGTCATCACGAAAGATCTGGCAACCAACGAGTTTCGGCATTGCGCAGTAGGGCGAGCGGACTCAGAGGCACGACTTTGAAAAGAAAATTGCGACTGCAGCGTAAACAAAGTCGACCATGAACTTCACTGAATGCCAGCAATGCACAATGCTTGCCTGCAGCCTGCAATCACAACACGTTGATCAGCTTAACGTGAATACCCTCTGAGCTTCCTTGAGCGCCCAGCCAAGCATGAAAAGGAGGTCGGGTGCCATGGCCTCACGCGCTGCAAGGCAAACCACATGCAATGGGCAAAAAGCCCCCGGCCTCGACGGTCAAACTGAAGAACCCCGGCAGGCAGCCTCGGTGGAAGAAGCATGGAAACGGAAACAGCTCGACTTCCCGACTGACTGAGCATCCCTCCTCGACTTGGCACAACAAGTGTCTTGGCAATCTCAGTGACTGTAGCACTGCCAGCTTCTGGATTCTGCACTCCAGGGCCCAGGCTGTCTGGCAAAAGAAGGGCGACTGCCTGCCCAGTGCACTCATGACGCTGGCTGACTAATGTCATTTCAATTCAAAGCATATGACATGACATGAGGCAACCGATTCTTTTTGATCCTGATCGTCGCCGTCACTCCTTGTCGACTGAAAGAGTTGATGACCACCATTCCCGACTCGACAACTCGACTGAAATCACCAGCTATTCCGCACAGTGAGTCCGACTGGATGGGCTCAGTATCCGAATTGAGATGTTCAGAGTCAGCAGTAGTAATGCTCAAGGCCCATAGATATGATATGTCATGTATGTTGTGTGCCGAATGTCGTCACGTCGTTGGACTACTGAGCTCCACCGTCCAAAAAAGGCTCAGGCGGCTGACTGAGCTCAGTGGAAAGTTCGACTCTCACTACGACTGTGCCCCAGCCTTCCAATATCTGTTGGCTTTGGAATATACCTTCAATCAAAATAAGGATATCATGATTTGGTTACATTCCACTTATCGGATGTCGGAAGGTCTGGGATTACTGCGAAGGCCCGGTCCATTCTTTCTGATTCGGGTCAAGCCATTCTTTGTACTGGTCCGGTCGGTATTCCTCCCCGACTGACGACCAATACCTAGTTCATTGTCGGGATAGCATGACGAGTCTCAAACAGTTGTTGCGTTTCAGGGAGTACACATTCAAAAAATTGAAATGTTACTAACTATGACAGAGATACTTGCTCTCTGCCTCGTCCCAAGAGCCCGACTCCTGCCAACCTTGCAACCAGGCAGCATCGGGACGAGCCCATATGCCCCATTCTTGGACGGCCATGCTCTGCGTCCACGCAGCAGGTTGTTCCCGCACTTAGTTAGCAGTTAGCAAAGAACGAGTTACGGGTTCAGTGACGTGCCGTGTGGTCTATTGTTTAGCGCTTAGTGTGTTTAGGGATTTCAAAGCAAATAGAACAAACACAATTGCTAATTCCAGGCAAGAGACTGAGAAGTCGAGTCTTCTCCTGCTGCCACCTCATCAGGTAGCTGCTCGGGTTGTCGATCTCGTTGTCCTCCTTTACGAGCTTGTCGCACAGCTCGGCCACGTAGGCCTTCCCCCTTGGCGAGGGGTGCAGCTGGACGTTCAGGACAGCCTGGTCTGCAGTACATGCAGAATGTCGTTAACCCAGGATGAAAGGTCTTGCCTCTTAGTTTTAAGAAAAGACTATACTGAACTTCGATAACGAGCAACAACTTTAACTTTAGCGGTTTCTTGGGGTGTTAAGTTGTATTATAGGAGCCAGCAATTAAAAACTGTTTCCAACTACCCCTCAAAAGGAACGTTGAAGGCCGCCCCGTCAACCCCCAGCCGAAGGAGGACGTCGGCTACGGCAGGAGCCTCGTAAAACATTCGGCGGATGACCTGGCCGGCATGCTGAACATAGCAGACCCAATGTTATTGTTTAGTTTTTTTAAGGGGGCCGGCCTCAGTGCGAGGAACTGCCCACTGCTGCTTTGCCCAGTCGCTCGGTGGGGCTTGTGCCAGGCCGTTGCTGGCTTTCGCGACAGGCTTTTTTTCTTTTTCTGCTGCTCTGCTCTGCTGTTGTTCCTTCTGTGCGTCCCACCACACCTTCCTTTCATGAGCTGGATGCTTGCCTGCTGTACCTGCTTTACCAAAGTCTACCCACTGGGCTGGATCATATGTTGACGCAGGCTGCTGCGACTTGCCTTGATCTGCTGCTGCCGCTTGCTGCTGCGACTTTCCTCCACCTTTGCCGTCTTGCTCCTGCGGATTGCCTGCAGCTTTGCCGTCTTGCGACTGATCTGTTGCTGCCGCTTGCTGCTGCGACTTTCCTCCACCTTTGCCGTCTTGCTCCTGCGGCTTGCCTGCAGCTTTGCCGTCTTGCGACTGATCTGTTGCTGCCGCTTGCTGCTGCGACTTTCCTCCACCTTTGCCGTCTTGCTCCTGCGGCTTGCCTTCAGCTTTGCCGTCTTGCGAGTGGCCTTGATCTGTTGCTGCCGCTTCCTGCTTCGACTTTCCTTCACCTTTGCCGTCTTGCTCCTCCGACTTGCCTTTACCTTTCGCGGGTTGCTCTTGCGACTTGGCTTTCGATTTATCCTTGCCTTTACCTTTGCCTTTCGCTGAAGGCTCTTCTTGCTGCTGGCTTTTGGGTGCCGCAGTCTCTTGCTTTTCCGACTTCTCTGTCGCTGTTGGAGGGAGCCCTGGCGGAGGTGTTGGCTCTTGCGACTGGCCTGTCGTCTCTTGCTTGGGCGACTGGCCTTCCGCTGTTGCCGAGGTCTCTTGCTTGGGCGACTGGCCTTGCGCTGCTGCCTCCGACTCGGCAAAAGACACATGCTTGGCTGCCCTGGCCGCTGCTGCCTTTGCCTGCGTGTCTGGAGTAGGCGGTGGCTTTGGCTTTGGCACTGGCACGGCCTCCTCGGTTGCGGGTGCCTGTTTTGGCGAATCCGACTTCGGCGGCGGCTTTGCCCTGGGCACGGCCGCACACTGGGCCACGGAGGCTGACTCGGCCACGGATTCCGACTCGTCCACGGGCTCCAGCACGGGTTCTGGTGCAAATGCAGGTGGGGCCTTGGCCTTTCTCGGCTCCTCAACCGGCGGCGGTGGCGGTGGCGGAGGAGGACTCATAGGACGAGGTGGAGGAGGTGGCGGCGGTGGCGCTAGCGACGTCGACTCCTGCCGCAGGGCTTATAAAGTGTATTTTAACGACTATCTCACCGAAGGTCAACGACTCCCCAGCTGGAAGTGCCTAATCTGCAATTGTGTGTTTTAGCGACGACCATTAGTCTTTATCAGTGTAAATGGTAAATACCATTAAGCAGAACATTTCCGGCTAACAACACCCTGAGCTCCGGGTCCTCATCCACAGGGGGCAGAGATGCAGAATGGGCCGACTCCGGATCAGCATGAAGATGTGGAGGAGGCGACTTCTCCTGCCGTGTGGCACTGTGGCAATTTGTGTGAATCATCTTAAAGGCCAAATACCAATCCTGCACCTCGCCACTGGCTTAAAGACCCCAATCCTGCAGCAACCCGATAATTGAAACTAAGAAGACCCTGAACCCTTGGTCCTTAGGACGTGCTTCTGCCGGACGCGACTCCTGCCATAGTGCTTCAAGGCTTTGAGCGCTGTTTAAACCAGCAGAAACATCGCAGAAGCCAACTTCCGGGTTAAGTAAGCTAACAACACCCTGAGCTCCGGGTCCTCAGCAGCAACAGCAGACGGAGATGTAGAATGGGCCGACTGCGGATCATCAAGAAGATGTGGAGGAGGCGCCTTCTCCTGCCGTTTGGCACTGTGGCAACTTGTGTCAATCATCTTAAAGAAGTACTGGACCAATGCTGCACCTCGCCCCTGGCTTAAAGACCCCAATCCTGCAGCAACCCGATAATTGAAACTAAGAAGACCCTGTAACCCTTGGTCCTTGGGACGTGCTTCTGCCGGACGCGACTCCTGCCATAGTGCTTCAAGGCTTTGAGCGCTGTTTAAAACAGCAGAAACATCGCAGAAGCCAACTTCCGGGTTAAGTAAGCTAACAACACCCTGAGCTCCGGGTCCTCAGCAGCAACAGCAGACGGAGATGTAGAACGGGCCGACTGCGGATCAGCAATAAGATGTGGAGGAGGCGCCTTCTCCTGCCGTTTGGCACTGTGGCAACTTGTGTCAATCATCTTACAGAAGTACTGGACCAATGCTGCACCTCGCCCCTGGCTTAAAGACCCCAATCCTGCAGCAACCCGATATTTGAAACTAAGAAGACACTGAACCCTTGGTCCTTAGGACGTGCTTTTGCCGGATTCGACGACTCCTGCCGCAGTGCTTCAAGGCTTTGAGCGATGTTTAGATCAGCAGAAACATCGGAGAAGCCAACTTAACGTATCCGCACCAAGGGTGCGGATACGTCAAAGTGACGCAACCCCTATTTCGAGACCTAGATTAAGCACTCCAGTCCGTCTTGTAATCCGAATCCGAAAGTAAGACCGTTAGCCCCCGATCCTTAGCTCTTGCCGCTGCTGGAGCAGCTGTCGACTGTCTGGCTGGGGACGCCGACTGTGCCTCGGGCTTTTTTCAGGGAGGCTCTTTATTTATCAGCGGAAAATTCTTGTTTCTATTATTTAATTCATGTAAATTGAACAGCCCTCAATCTCAAGCTTAGGGTTTGGAACTGCTTTGATTCGATTCGAGGGGCATGGCCGTTCGCGAGGTGACGTAGCATACCGAGGTTCACGTCCCTTCCATGCTGCCAGTCAAACTTGTTGCTCAACTGCCAGATCTGCGTGATCGGCGACATAACTGCTTCGACTTGCAGGCCTAGCTCGATCACAAGCTTGTAGCGCCGCGCGACTGGACCTTCCTTGTTTCTGTGGACCGCAACCCACCCTTCCATCATCTTTCCCAGGCCATTCTTCCTTTGCCCCTGCGACGTGTACTGACAAGCGACTCCCGGACAAACCAAACTTGCCACGAATGCGAAGTTCCAATTGCCTATCGAAATCTCCTGGTCGTTGTTGTGGTAGCCGTCGTGCTTGCCCGCGAAGCTGCCCGCCGCAAAGTAGTCGACGAAGTGCTGGTGGGCGTCCAAGCTTTCGAGCTCTTCCACCAACGACTCTATCTTCGGCAGCTGCTGCGCCGCCCTGGCTCTAATCACTGGCAGGACTTGCTTCTCTGCATAGGTCAACTGCAGGCCGTCCAGCGGATTGGGTACGTCTACCTCCTGAAAGGCTTTGAAAGCTTAGGGTTTCAGGTTTTCCATGTTTAGATTATCCTTTCGCCCTCAGCCCCGGCTCCTCTGTGGCCGCAGCGACCAAAGCTGCACCTGCATCCGACTCTTCGACTTGTTGCCACCAGTCTTCGACTGGAGCGGTTGCCGTGTCGTCGCCCTCGTCGCCAATAAAGTACTGTTCCGGGCCAGCAGCCTCCTTGACAGGACTGTGTTAGGGAACCTTCTTCCGACGTATTTTTTTATGATTTCAAGAAACCCACGCCGAACCCGTTCCTCGTAACAGCTTAGCAGTACGAAGCCAAAGCCGGCGTTGTTTGTTCGGATTATTGTTTAGCGTTTTTGGTTCGTGCCAAACCCGTTCCTAATAGCATTAGATATTAGCAGTATTAAGTTAAAGAGCACTCAATCCCGTAGCAATCCGATTCCGAAGGTGGGGGTTTGTGGTTTAGGGCTTGTCTTACAAGGCGCCTGCTCAGCGGCGCTTTGCGGATCTGCCTCGTCCATTTCGTCCAAATGAATAAGCGACATGGGCAAGATTCAAAGGCAGGCTCCTAGACTAGAGTGCTCGTGACACTGACTGTGTAGTAGAACCTGTGACGGGAAAGCAAACTGTTGGATAGCACCAGAAGTTGACAAGCACATCTGCTCCTGGGTTCAGCATGATGCAATGGTTTCGGCATGATGAAGATCCTGATGCTGTCTGTTGCTTCAACCGCCCGACTGCGGCAAACAACGCAAAGGTTCGCTCAAACCAAGTCGAACACAGCCGTGCTGGCTGCATCGCACGTGTCAGGAGGATCAGATGATTGCTGCATGTCGGATGCACATGCTGGCTGTCCAGTCCACTGCTGACCGAAATTAACGACCTGCCTTGCGGGAGTCGACTACAAACATGTTGTCCACGACTCGACGAGCAGCTTGACCTGGCCGACATGCCGGTTTGATCTGATGTTCCAACTATAAATCAAAGGGAGCCGCAACCAGCGTCAACTGTTGACAACAGGCTCAACCGGGGATGCCTTCTCGAGATGTATCGACTGGCCGTCCACCACACTGCCAGTCAAAGACAAATCCGAAAAGAACTCAAGCAGCCGTGTGCACAGCACTCTCGGCCCCTGGCAACTCGTGTCGAAGCCGGCGGCTCGACTGCAAGGCTCCTGGAGCTGATCGGCTTCAAGGATCAAAGCAGCCGTGTAACTTTGCCATGAAAGGTTCGGGAAGGGTAGAAGTGTAGGATTTGGGCTTCAGGTTTGAAAGGCGTTCAAGGTAAGGGTTTATACTGAAATGAAAAAAGGTCTTGCGTTCGATGGGGATCTCGCAGGGCTCAAGGAGTTTCGACGATCTCAGGGCTCATTGATTGATGGGCCAGTTGCAACCTGCAATGGTTTAGGGTGTAGGGTATAGGTGTTTAAACTTTAAAGTTCTAATATTCAACACCTTTTATGTTTGTTTATACTTCGACTGGCATCTGAGCTGTTTCTCTCTGCACAGATCTCGATGTTCTGATCCGACTTCAAAAGTGAACCTTTGGCTGGAAGTCACCGATGATAAAGAATCGACTGACGACGAACCGACTGGAGCCACCAGATCAATCAGAACATGCTAACATTTGCACTGTCATGCCAAGACTCTCTGAGTCGTTGTCTAGAGATTTAGATTTAGATGTCAACATGGACTAGTGCCGGGCTCCAGATGATCGTCCAGGGGCCTTGGTCTTTTTGACCGACCTCTGTGGCTTCTTGCTGTTATCATGGTCCTTATTCTTGCCCTTCTTCTTGTCCTTCTTGGATTGCTGCTCCTTCTTTTTCTTCTTCTTGGCCTTCGTCGACGCAGACTCAGAGTCAGAAGCCGAGCTTGAAGACGACTGCGGCGACGACGAGGGCCTGCGCTTTCGATCAGAAGACGAGTCAGCAGCCGGCAGTTTTGACGACTCCGACTTCTCCTTCTCCTCCTTGAACCGCCGCTTTTCCTGGGACTATGGTTCAGGGTCAGGGTGTTAGGTATTGTAGTAATTAAATGAAATAGCGGTTTAGGGTTTGGGTTTTTTTTTTGCATGCCATGGATCGTCCTCAAGCTCCTTGACCTTCTGGTTCAAGACAGCATTGCGCCGCCAAGCCTCGACTCGAAGTTGCTCATTCTCGTGGTTTGTACGACCGGCTTCGTCCAACCGCTGGTGTCCCAGCTCCCTGGAGTGAAAGCTTGACATTAACAAGAACAGAACCA